TACTTGAGAGATTAAATTAATTGAAATTTAAACTTTAATTTGACTTCGCCCATTTTTAAGTGTAATTTTAAAAGTCAAGGAGGGGAGAGTGAAAGAAACGTACTCGGTTACTTACGTAACCTCGGTTCCCTGAGATACTGGAACGAGTACTGCAGACTTCAAATCTGCAGACTGTAGTGGCTCAAAGGGGGAGCCCTTGAGGGCTTTCAGGACCGTGGGCAGGTCCCACATAGGGACCGTGGGGACCGGAGCGGATTGAGCCTCCTGGATCCCCTCAGGAAATGGACAACAAAGTTGTTCCGGCCCACCGACTGTCCGGCTATAGGAGCATGGGAAGCTGCTATAGCTGCCACATAGACCTTGAGCGGGGAAGGGGGAGCGGCCCTTGTCCAACGAAGGTAGAAGGTAGGACAATATCACCGATATGTCACATGAAACTGGGTCTTTGCCATGGGTCGTACAGAAAAGACCGAAGACCGACCACTTAAGGGCATAGAGGCGTCTCGTAGACGGGGCTCTAGCCTGTGAGATAGTATTCAGGACGCTCTCAGGGAGATCTACTGATTCCCATCGAGAGCCCAGAGGTGCAGAGCCCACAGCTCGGGCTGGGGGTGCCAAATCGTCCTGTTCGCCTGAGAGAAAAGGTCCTGCCTCAGAGGAATAGGCCACGGGGCTGCTGTCAGCAGTTGAGACAGCTCTGAAACCCAATGCTCGTTCCTCCAGAGCGGGGCCACCAGAAGGATTCTGTGTCTGTGTTCCCTGACTTGTCTGATTACCTGTGGGATCAGAACAATCGGGGGGAAAGCATACAGGAGGAGGTTGGGCCAATCGTGGGCTAATGCGTCCTCGCTTTTCGAAAAATAAGTTGGGCAATGAGAGTTGGGCAATGAGAGTTGTCTTTTGAGGCAAAGAGGTCGACCTCTGCCCTGCCAAAGATCTCCCAGATTCTCTGAACCGTTTGTGGGTGGAGCATCCACTCCTCTGAGGGGATGTTGCTCCGAGATAGCATGTCTGCTCCTCGGTTGAATATGCCGGGCACATGTGCTGCCCTCAATGAACGCAGGTTGAGATGCGCCCACTCCAAGAGGCGTTTTACCATCTTGAAAAGGCGTTTCGAGGTGAGCCTGCCCAGGCGATTTATATAGAACACCACTGTCATGCTGTCTGAGCAGACTAGTATGTGGTGTCCCTTCAGGTCCGGTAAGAAGGTCTGAAGGGCTCCACATACTGCCATCGTCTCAAGGCAGTTGATGTGTAGCCGGCCTTCTGCATCTGACCAGGAGCCGAAGGTCGGTCTGCCTTCACACAGAGTTCCCCAACCTGTGTTGGATGCATCTGTTGAGACAACCTTCCTTCTGTGAATCAAGCCCATAGTCACGCTGTTCTTGAACCACTGTGGGTCTTTCCAAGGGCCCAGAGCTGTTACACGGGCCTGGCTCACCCTCAGACGAATGCGTCCGTGATGCCACGCATGGGGAGGAATTTGAGGTTTCAGCCAGTACTGAAAGTCTCATGTGGAGCAGGCCCAGCTGTAGTACCGGAGATGCAGAGGCCATGAGGCTCAGCATGTTTTGAAACGACTTGAGAGGTTGAGAGGCTCCGATTTTGAAAGACTCCGCGAGCTGTTGTATGGCCAGTGCACGTTTTGGCGCGACTACCGCCCTCATGTGGACTGAGTCGAATACTGCTCCCAGGAACGAAGTTCGTTGGCTGGGAGACAGAGATCTCTTGGCAAAATTGACCCTGAGTCCCAGGCACTCTTAAGTGGCTGAGGAGGAGGGATCTGTGGGATATTAGCTCGGCCTCTGACTGGGCTAAGATGAGCCAGTCGTCGAGGTAATTCAGAATGCGGACTCCCATCTGCCTCAGAGGGGAGAGGGCTGCGTCCATGCACTTCATAAAAGTGCGGGGAGCCAGGGACAGTCCGAAGGGCAGGACTGTGTACTGATATGCCACTCCCTCGAAGGCGAATCTCAAGAATCGTCTGTGATGGGGGGGCTACCTGGATGTGAAAGTAAGCATCTTTCAGATCCAGAGAAAAGAACCAGTCCCCTGGGCGTATTTGCGAGAGGATCTGCTTCAGGGTAGTCATTCTGAACGGCCGTTTCATGAGGGCACGGTTCAGGTCTCTGAGATCGAGGATGGGCCGAAGGCCGCCGTCCATTTTGGGGACGAGGAAGTAAAGGCTGTAGAAGCCTAACTCGCTCTGAGCTGGCAGAAGCATCTCTAAAGCTCCTTTTGCCAGTAAATTATTCATCTCGGATCGCAAGACGTGAGCGTTCTTGCTCTGCACTGAGGAGGAGACCATGCTGCGGAACTACAGGGGTCTTCGAGCGAACTGGAGTGAGTAACCTTGTTTTATAATCCCCAGATCCCAGTCTGACACTCCGGGAATGGCTTGCCAGGCCTCGGCCTGTGTGGCAAGGGGTACTGTGACACTCGTGATAACTGGAAGAGGAAATTTGCTCTTTTTTTTGAAGATGTTTGTTTTTTATTTTTCTTGCTATAACAGCGGCTGTTTGTGAGGGCGCTTTTGGAACGGGCCCAGTATTCACAACAGTTTCTAGAACAAACCTACTGCCACCGGCACCCGGACCGAACGGGGTGCTTGAGGGCACAACAGAGGGTGTTTTGGGGGTGGTCTGGCGCTGGTGAGACTTTGCCCCCTCCTCTTCCTGTCCAGCAGATCAGGATGATGCCTGAGGCGCAGGATCCAACGTCAGCTTGGGCCGTGGTCCTTGGCGCTTCGGAAAAGGGTAGCATCTGGCCGAGCGGGAGCGCTGTTGAGGCTCAGTCTTTTGAGTAGGTTGAGCGGGCAGCGGCGCAGGTTTTGCTGGCTGCTGTGCTGGTGTAGGTCTGGGGCGACTGGTGGCCGTTGCAGAGCTGGAGCACTTAGGCAGGAAGTGCCGCATTGCCTGGTATGACTTCTGTACTGCTGTAAAACTCTCTGCAAATCCCTCGACGGTGGGTCCAAACAGCCCCGTAGGGTAGACCGGAGAGTCGAGGAAGGGGACCTTGTCAGCCTCCTTAATCTCAGTGAGGTTTAGCCATAAGTGGCGTTCCAAAATCACTAAGCTGGCCATTGACCTCCCGATGGCCTGTGCTGTAGCCTTCGTAGCTCGTAAAGCCAGGTCTGTTGCACTGCGCAGCACCTTGAAGGCTGCGGGGTCGGGTCTGGACTCGTCCATGACTTGGAGGAGTTTGTCCTGAGTACGCTTGTCCAGCGAGGGCAGACGTTGTTCTGCAGGGCTTGGAGGGGTGAGCGACCTTCGCTTTCCATCCAATTGCAGTGGTTGGGCAGAGGTGTGCAGCCACTGACTCATCGAGAGGATGCAGTTTTACGTAGCCTCTTTCCTCAGCGCCATCCACTGAGGAGAGTGCAGAAGAAGAGGATGTGCGAAGGCGAGCCGAGTAGGGAGCGAGCCACGATTTCGTGAGCTCGTCGTGGACTTCCGGGAAAAACGGGGAGGCTCGTTGACGAGGGGCCTGGCGGCACCCTGGCAGCAACCATTCGTCCAGATGGCTACGAGTGGGCTCCTCCGGTGTAGACCACTCCAGTCCCAGCTCTTCGACCGCTTTAGAGAGGACACGGAAAAGTTCGGTGTCCATCCCTTGCTTGGCGTCGCTGGGATCGGCAGACGGCAAAGGGGCGGGGTTGATAGTAGAGCCCGACATCTCCTCCGCATCTGACGCTATTAGAGACATGCTGTCATCTAATAGCTTGTCCTCCATCACACCGAACGAGACCGTGTCGCTCGCATCAGCCGAGGGACGCTAGTCTGAGTGTTCAGAGAGTACGGGTGAACCCTCTCTGCTTGGCGAGGCACGCGGGATCTGGCCCGGCGTGAGCTCACTCGTAGCCGAGCGCTCAGTCCCCTTGCCCCGCTGTTTTTTCCTCACAGGTCCCTGGGAGGAAGAAAATGGGTGGGCGCGAGAGAGTCGCTCTCTGAAAAGAAAGCGCGCAGAGAGGCTAGACTCATGTTCACGCAGTGTGAACACTCCATCTCGGTCAGAGCGGCTTCTGCGTGAGGCTTGCCCAAACAGTTAAACGCACTCTGAGTGGCTGTCGTCAGCGTGCAGTACAATCCTGCAATTACTTTTTTAGACTCGCCGGATGGCGGCAGGGGACGAGCTGACATCTGCGCCGAACGCTGAAGGCGGATCGTAGAGCGGGCGGGAACAGCAGAGAGGCGCAGAGGAAAAGGCAGAATCTGTCCGCAGCGAGGCGTGTCAATGTCGAGCACTTCAAGTCCCGTAGATCAGCGAAGGGAAGATGGAACCAATGGCCGTGCAGTTACACTGCGTGATTGTAAAGGCTTCAGTCCTCTGAGAAAAAGGAGTTTTTCCCCATAAGCATCTAGCGACGCAGTACGAGTGAAGTATCGAAAGGGAATCAGTCTTTTCTGAACATGTTGACTCCATTCTTTTTTTTAAATCAAGGGGGACCCGCAGTATATTTTTTGACCACCCGCAGGATCCCAACCCAAATGTGTACAGTGCTCTTCCATGGTTTTTATGAGGGGTAATATTTGGGATGTGTTCGTAGGAAAGTTAAGAGTTAACAGTATTAAGAAGTGCTAAATGCTTATATGTATGATGCTTTGTGACATTAAACTGGTGTTAACTTCTTTTAGTTTCTTTACACCCTAGACCTGATGGCACTGAAAGAGGAGAGTCCAGATCTAAATGAAATGGAAGAGAAAAACTTAATGACTGGTGAAGAATCTTTTAGCTACTCACAGATTGATAAAACAGAAACTAGAAACCTTAAAGTCCAGATGAGAATTCAGACTGGAGAGAAGCATTACACCTGTGAACAATGTGGAAAGAGTTTCAGTCTAAAAGACAGCTTTAGAGTCCACTTGCATCTAGCGACGCAGTACGAGTGAAGTATCGAAAGGGAATCAGTCTTTTCTGAACATGTGTTGACTCCATTCTTCTTTTTAAATCAAGGGGGACCCGCAGTATATTTTTTGACCACCCGCAGGATCCCAACCCAAATGTGTACAGTGCTCTTCCATGGTTTTTATGAGGGGTAATATTTGGGATGTGTTCGTAGGAAAGTTAAGAGTTAACAGTATTAAGAAGTGCTAAATGCTTATATGTATGATGCTTTGTGACATTAAACTGGTGTTAACTTCTTTTAGTTTCTTTACACCCTAGACCTGATGGCACTGAAAGAGGAGAGTCCAGATCTAAATGAAATGGAAGAGAAAAACTTAATGACTGGTGAAGAATCTTTTAGCTACTCACAGATTGATAAAACAGAAACTAGAAACCTTAAAGTCCAGATGAGAATTCAGACTGGAGAGAAGCATTACACCTGTGAACAATGTGGAAAGAGTTTCAGTCTAAAAGACAGCTTTAGAGTCCACTTGAAAATCCACACTGGAGTGAAGCCTTACTCCTGCAAACTGTGTGGAAAGAGTTTCTTACTAAAAGGACATCTTAAGACTCACATGCGAGTTCACAATGGAGAGAAGCCTTTCATCTGCTCTCAGTGTGGCAAGAGTTTTAGACAGAAAAAAGATCTTAATACCCACATGACAAATCACACTGGAGAAAAGCTTTACTCCTGCAAACTGTGTGGGAAGAGCTTCAGACGAAAAGACAATCTTAAGAATCACATGCGAGTTCACACTGGAGAGAAGCCGTTCATCTGCTCTCAGTGTGGAAAGAGTTTTAGACAGAAAAGAGATCTTAATACCCACATGACAAATCACACTGGAGAAAAGCCCTACTCCTGCAAACTGTGTGGGAAGAGCTTCAGACGAAAAGAAAATCTTAAGACTCACATGAGAATTCACACTGAACAGAAGCCGTTCATCTGCTCTCATTGTGGCAAGAGTTATAAATGGAAAAGAAATCTTAATGGCCACATGAAAAATCACACTGGAGAAAAGCCTTACTCTTGCAAACTAAGTGGGAAGAGCTTCATGCAAAATGAACATTTTAAGACTCGCATGAGAATTCACACTGGTGGAGATGATCCATTTGTTTGTGATCAGTGTGGAAAGAGTTTCAGATTTAAAGCACACTTTAATAATCATCACATGAGGATTCACTCAGGAGAGGACTGTTTTGTATGTCATCAGTGTGAAAGGAGTTTCACAGACAGGCGTCACCTTGAGAATCATGTAAAAATTCACATCGGGGAGAAGCCTTACATGTGCCATCAATGTGGAAAGACTTTAACAAACAGAGCAAACCTGGAGGATCACATGAGAGTTCACACTGGAGAGAAGCCTTTCACCTGCCAAGAGTGTGGAAAGAGCTTCACGGTTAAAGGAAACCTTAAGACGCACATGAGAATTCACACTGGAGAGAAGCCTTACAAGTGTGTTCAGTGTGACATGAGTTTCCAATATCATATAAGCCTGAAAAATCATTTGCAAACTCATTCTGGAAAGAATTCATTGATTTCCTCAGAGTGACGAGGTTTAGAAAAAGGAGTAATTTCAGCAATCATCTGCGCATTCACTCTGGAGATAGACAGTTTAATTGGGATCAATGAAATAAAATCATCACACTTATACATGCATATGCAAAGTCATGTAAATGTGAGAGCCTGTTTTTGTTCTTTGTTAAAGAGTAGGACAATAGAAATGCATATCCATTTGAAATAAGCAGCTGAATGCGAGCTTCATCTTATTTCCACCTCATGACCAATTCTTTTATTTGTATTACTGTTTTAGTTATATCCTACATCTCTTTATACTTTACCTCTAGTCTTTTTGTTTTCTTTTGACCATGTTTACTGCAGTGAGAACTAGGGCTGGGAAAATAAATTGATGCATCGCGAATTGAGAAATGATTCAGCATTGATTCTGAGATTTTCCGAATGCATCACGATTAGGGATGCACGATATGAAAATTTTTTACCGATAATTAAGTCCTTCTCATAGTCGATACCGATAACCAATAAGTTCATATTTTTATGTTATAATTTTCATATAATCTACAGTTTGTGCACCCAGGAGAATAGAAAATCTAAGAAGCACTGATTAAACTGATATTTTAGTAGCTCTGGCCTAACTATAATAGCAAACTTCAGTCCTGACTCTTCAAATGTGTTTATTTTTTGTGTAAGGCACCACAATACTTAGTAACAGAAAGAGTTTAACAGAACTATGGTTTACCTGCAATTAACAACTTATTAAAAACAAATTTATATTCAAGTATTTCATGCATAACAAAGAAATGCATCTATTCAACCTTTAGTGCATGAGGATGAGGAAGGTATATTGACTTTAAATCATGTTTTTCAAATACATAATAAATAAAATGCATTGACATTTGTCAACCTCGAAAAAAAGAACAACAAAAGTGCATCCTCAAAAGTGCATAGGGCATAGAGATTTCTCTGAAATTATATAGTTTAACATAAAATAAATAATAATAAACTTAAAATGATTTCCAATTTGCACTCCTTGACATGTCTTACCCTCTTCCAAAGTATATATCTTTTCACTTGTCTCTGTTTAATGTCTATTTGCCTTTTCTATTTGTTATGTGAGGGCATTAGCGGGAGATTCTTGATAAACAGAAGCATCTCTGACTTCTCGGAAAGCGGATGAATCTTGGATAAAACAGACTGATTGATTAATTTACCAGCAAGAGTACTTTATCGGATCTAGTTATTGGATTTCATTTATCTATCGGAGCAATAAAAATGACGTCATTTTCACCCATATCGCCCGATAATTTATCTGTCCGATAAATATCGTGCATCCCTAAAAAAAACTTTTAGGTCATAATATATGATGAATTAGACACAATAAAAAACATTTTACACACATTCCATTCAAATGCGGACATTTTTGTTTTTAATTATGTCCAAGGTTGTAACTGAACAGTACTGGATTAAATAAGCAACATGATGATGTCATGTAATAACTATAGTGCACTACTTTCTCATTCTTCAAGGTTTCCCATTCTTTTAATTGTATACATTATGTTGGGCATATATATATATATATATATATATATATATATTAAAATATTTTTAGTCAGAATAGTATTCTGTAACCATTAGACCAACTAGCCTCTTCCATTCTAAACATAGCTTAATTATAATCATAAAACATCTACTGACTTCTGGCTTGCATGAATATAGTGGTCTCCATTGAGGCTTTGTAATAATTTTAATTGAGCCGGCAAAAGGAAGTGAACATGACTTCCCCTTTCACAACATCATGTCCCACAATAGCAGCTTTCAAACGACCCGCTCCTTAATGAAGACTTCTAATGACATGCTAACGGCGCACCATTTTAATTAGGTACCGTATTGACCCGAATATAAGACGATGTTTTTTTTCTTGGAAATACATCTGAAAAAACGCGGTCGTCTTATATTCAGGGTCTAGACTTTGACGTGTCAATAATACACCCACAACAATAGGTGGCGCCAAATACGCATAAAACGAGTGTGCCGTGAAATACGTAATGTAATGCGTGTTGTAAAGATCGCGAGTAAAAACAAAAGAAAAAGAAAAGCTTACAGCTGCATGAGTCGTGACGGTCACGTTAGCCTGATGGGACCAAACTCCCTTTGTGATTTTAAAACGTAAGACAGTACCCAGATTTGAAGACTACAGTAAGATTGAACTTCTACTGTTAATAAGATTTTGGTGGGCTACTATTAGATGGATAGCCTAAATGTCCTAATTCAGATGGGATACCTGTTTTTTTTTTATTTTTTATGGTATATCAAAAAGTATATTTTTTTCAATGTGATTGTTGGTACATTTTACCAGTTTTTACCATACTTTCAAAACAAAAATTAAAATAGGATAAATATGCAATATGAAAATAATTGAAGACAAAATGTGTTTACTGAGAAAAAACAAGATTTGGTTTTTAAAAAGCCTTTTTCCAAATGGTACATCTGGAAAAGGGGGGTCGTCTTATATTCGGGCCAATACGGTAGTTAAGTACCAAACAATGTCATACAGCCAAATGAGCAGTATTTCAGCTCACTCTCACTTTTGGATGATCTTGATTCCGCTTGAAAAAAAAAGAAAAGAAAGGAAGAAATTAAAAATTGATTGATTGATTCAAAATCAGATTGATTTGCTGTAGATGATTTTTTCAGCAAACTTTAAGTAAACGCGAATTAATTAAATCGGTGATGCGTTATGCGCACAAGAGGTTGTGTTTATTTGTAATTAATTTTGTATTAATTAATCATTGTATTTTTTTTTTTATCATTTGAGTTCCTATTCATTTAATGTAGGCTATAGGCTACGGCTGCGTGCGGCTTATCGAGGTATGAATTCCTTTAGGAGCATCTGAACGTAATTGAAGATATTTTTGATGAAATCTGAGAGGTTTCTGTGCCTCAATTAAAAGTCTGTTCTCTGATGGCTCTAAACTTTCATTTAGAGATGATAAAATAAATCCATATGAATGGAGTGCTTAAATCCAAGTCTTGTGGAGAGACACAATGGCTTTATATGATGAACAGATTGAATAAAAGCATAAGTTAATCAGAATGCTACTGTGTCTCTATACAAGCCTTGGATTAATCTGCTCCATTCATATGGATGTATTTTACCATCTCTTTTTGCATGTTATGATGCATTTGTATTTTGAGTGAACAGACTTTCCATGAAGGGACAAAAATCTTTCAGATTTCATTAAAAATAGTTGTGTTTTGAAGGCAAACTACTTTCTTATGAGTTTCAAACAGCATTAGGTGAGTAAATGACGTCAGTCTTCATTTTAGGATGAACTATCCATTTAATGTATTTTTGACACTAACCACACACACATTTTGAGCAGGTTTGGGAACCACTGTTGTAGAGGATGCCATCTAATATCCTTGTAGTACATAACCCTTAAAACTCTGATTACACCTGTAACCGGTTTCTTTTTTTATTGGGAAGCTTTTGCCATGACAACTTGCTTATGGTGACATGATCTACTTTTACATGTCTTTACTTTTGTGTTTTTGCACAAATGTATGTCCCTCCATCACCAGCACTCCGAATACAGCTCCAAGCACTCAAAGTAAGTTGGATTATTGATTACTGTCATGCACCTAGTTTCAAATAAATACACCAAGTAGTTGCCACTAACAACGTACAGTAATATGGGAGTTGTCAGAGCCTGGCAATTTGTGGGACTGCTTTTTATTTCCATTACAACTGTTTGAAAAATCAACAGTGATGCAGTAGGTAGTGTACAATTACACTACACTAGCAGTCCTATTTCTTTATATATATATTAGGGGTGTAACAGTACACAAACTTGACGGTTTGGTACATACCTCGGTTTTGACGTCATGGTTCGGTATGGTTTCGGTACAGGAAAAACCTTTTCTTTTTTTTTTGTATGCAAACATTTAAATTGTTTTTAAATTAACTTCTAAATTATACGATTTCTATTTGCAATATAATATTTGATATATTTGCAATATTATAATTTACAGTCATAACTTGTTTCATAAAATATTTATTTAAACATATACATTTAATAGTTAAAGACATCACTAACAGTTAAAGTAAATATAATGAAGTATAGTCTAATATTTCGTAAAATGCTCTTGGCAACCTTCCAAAACACCTAAGAAAGATAGGGGTCAGAATCCCTGTATTACCAAATTCCACCAAATAGTACCTGCAACAAAAGTTGGCCAATATTGCAGAAAAATAGTATCAACATTTTTTATTTATTTATTTTTAAAGATCACAATTCGGTAGTTTATCGATTCTTTATTATTTTGGTTTTGAGATGTAAATTGCAAACAATAGGACAAATACAATAAAAAATACAAATGAAATAAATAGTGCTTTAATTTTTTTCAGCTACAGTAGGTGTATTTAACAGTACCATTCAAGTTAGAAATTTAATAAATGTAAAACGCTAAATTATACACTGATTCTTATTAAAGCTAGTTAAGTCAAGAGCAGTAAAGTGAATTTTCTCTTGGTCTTTTGTTGTTTGTTGAACATTAAAGGTGCAGATTGAACCAAAACACATTTTTAGCAAAGTTTTATTGAGCAAACTTTTATAGGTGTATTTAACAGTACCATTCAAGTTAGAAATTTAATAAATGTAAAACTGCTTTGAAAAAAAAAAAAATGTTTCTGAAAGTAATTTTCAGATGCAACGGGGGAAAAAACTGGATAAACGCAAACATGAAACTTGTAAATAAAATAATCTGATATATAGCCTATGTTCAATTTAATAACATTAATGGGGTGTTCGTCAAAGATTGCATGCGGTCGGAGATTCCCGTGTTTACAGCTCCGTAAAATAACCTACTGGAAGCTCTGTAGTTTTGCTGTATAGGACTATAGATAAAAATATTAAAATTGCAAACACACAATAATATTTTAAGTTACTTCCATTTCTGAAAAAAAGAATGTAGGCCTAGTAATTGATGCTATAAATACACACGCCTGATTTTTGTTTTAATTATCCATCGTACACAAAAAAA